GGGGGTGGGGTGGGGTGGGGTGGGGGGTGAGATACCTAGTCTCTGATGGCAAACTGGACCCCTACCATTTTCTAGACAGCATGGGAGGGATTTGTGTGCCACTGGCTCAGGTGGCACACACTGCTTGGAGTGGCCTTTTAATTGCCTTCAGAGGCAACCACTGGCCTGTGAGTGGCCTTTCGGCAACCTTTGTAGGGGTGGAGACCTGTCAGTTGGCTCAGTGTACATTCAGCCACTCTAGGGAAATTGGGATGCTTGGTTGGGCACACACTGTTCCAGCGAAACTGTACATGGTCAAAGGGCAAAGGTAGGGAGGTAGTTGTGCTTAAAACCTCTCAAAATATCAGGGTTAGCAGTTAATTAGTGGCCTTGCTTCCAAATGCCTTTTGCCAAAGCTTGGCAAAAGGGAAAACCAACTGATAGGAGAACCAAATCAAAGCCAAGGTCAGACACCAAAACAGGACCAAACTACTTGCTTGTGAGCAAGAGAAAACCGCTTGGGGGCATCGTGGGAACTGGGTGGGACCAGCCACTAAGTCCCTGCCCCACCTCACGTGGTTGGAGCACTAGATACCCCCGTGGCGACATCGGTGGAACCATGTGCTCCGCTGCCCTGCAACAACATGGCAGTGGACACTGGGAGGAGCCATTTGGTGAGGTCCGTGGAGTCACATGTTCAGCTGCCCTGCAAGAAATGGCTGAGTCTGGGGTCAGGGGGGAGAGAGCACAGGGAACCAGCCTCCTGCAGAGACCAACGGATTTTCGTGCCCAGCACTTTGCTGGCAGAAACATGGAACGAACCACCGAAAAGAAATAAGGCTTTGGGGATCAGAGTTCCCCCAAACTATAGGGTGCCCGTCTTCTCATCACAGGAAGGGAGGCTGAGGGAAACATGGAGGCAAGGATTTCACGGGAGAGCAGAAAGGCAGATACGGGGTGCGGAGGGGCAAAGGGGTTCCCACCGCCATATGTTCCACATGGCTCCATGGTGAGTTGTCGCAGAGTTCCCTCTCAGACGGCAACAAGTTCAGAGGGCAGGATGGAATCCTGTAAAACCCACAGTTGAGCCTGGGAGGAGGAGGAGGCTCCATCTCCCTTACAAAGGTCAGTGTTTTTCAACCTGTTTGAGTTTGAGTTTAAGTTTTAGTCCGACAGTTAAAATTGAGTGGACACTTTAGAAAGTTTGACCCAGCCACCAGAGCTTCTCAGTCTCTCCAAGGTGCTGAGTGAAGTCGGAAAGGTACACAGACAGTCAGTGAGGTAGGAATGTGTGCCCGCTCCAAGGCTTACATTAAAAAAGGTGTGGTCAGAGGTTTTCATCCGAGTCACGGTGCCACAATCTTAGGTTCCTCGAGTGGGCAATACCTCTGTCCTTGGCTTTACACAATGAAAGAAATCATGCTGACGCCTGTTTTGTCATCCAGGGGGGTTTTTCTGAAGGACAGGACAAGTTTCAGGTTTTACAGTCTGAAAGAAGTTCATAACTGGGCAAGAGCAACCTCCTAGAAAAGAGCACCCCCATGTGTGGAACTGGGTGGGGGGAATGCCGGGGACTGAGAGGTGAAGGGGGCAAGGAGCAAGAGGACACGGAGGCCAGAGAATGATGGGGCCAGAGCACCAGGAGAAGAGATACTGTGGACTCCTGAGCAGGCCAGGAGCGTGCATGTGTGGGTCCCCAGCAAGCCCAGAGCAGGCCTGGAGGGGCATGCCCACGCTGATGGGGTGCACCCCAACTTCCGACCTGCCTCTGACTGCAGTCTTCCCACACCCAGGATATTTCAAGCCTCTGGCTTGGCGTCGTGGTTGATGGTATTGGTTGACCCTATTGGTTGAGTTGAGCCCATCTGAGTGATGTCATGAGACTGGGCCTAGTTTGGACCACGCAGGTGTACCTCCTACCTGGCTGGAGGCCTGGAGTAGGAGCATGCTCAGTTTGGGGTCTTCATAAGCATCTAATGGCTGCCTGATATCTTCCCAACCTCCTCTATGGGGCCTTTTTCAGGCACGGGTGGGACAACCCCCATCCCTAAATCTAGCTACCTAACAGATCAGGTTAATTGTTTGAAGTGAGGATCTCTTCGGGGGATTAGTACACAAGTAATATTAGTAGTAGTAGTAGTAGTAGTAACAGCAATAATATAAGTATTTTAAAGAGGACAATGGGGTAAGGTAAAAGTTAACCTGAAACCTATGGTATTACACTCATCCACTTACTGGGGGGAACGGCATAAGAGTAACAAACAAAAAGATTCAAGTTTTTCTCCAGATAGTAAGAAAGTCTAATCCATGGTTCCCAGAGCAAGGAACACTCTAGATCTAGGAACGTGGGAGGAAGCAGGTTGGACCTTTAAGAAGCACACAGAGAGGGGCAGAGTATCCCCCTAGAGACCTGGTCTCTAGGGGCTCAAGGTACAATGGTTTTAGAACCTCTGCAGACAGATCAGCGAAAGGTTGGAGACGGAGGTGCAGAAGGAGACACGGGTCAGTCAGGCATGAGAAGTATAGAGAGGCTTTATCAAGGCGAGAGAAAACTCCCGGACGAGTTCCGCAACGCCACGAGTTAGGTCAGGGAAGTCGCGCCTGGCAGTGAGGCGGTGGGACAGATGGAGGGCTTGATCCAAGGACGTATGTGCTGATAAGGGGAAGGGAGGCCTTCTGGGGCTGCAGTTGCAGGGTCTGAGTCAGGCTGGGGTCTGTGAGTGAATCACCCCGAAACGCTGAGGGAAGGGGCTGTACAGACCCGGCCCGGAGAGATAGCTCCTTGGAATGCTAGAGGCAGGGCCTGCACAGTCCAGCTCTGGCCTTGAGAGGCAGGGGGAAGGGGCTGCACAGTCCAGCAGGTCCTGACCCGGCCCAAACATCCCAAACTCTTTATAGTGGTAATGGGCGTCTTGCTCAGATAGGATGAAGAAGGTGGGGGCATTAAGAGTTGGAAGGTTCGGGTCCGGGTCAGGTGGCAGTGGACTGTAAGAGTGGAGAAGAAGCTGACTGAAGGTCAGGTTGGAGATGGCTTTCATTTGGTCCTGCAAAAATTTAAGCACACACGGAGCCAACAGTAACTGTACTCAAATTATTGCCAAAGGCCCAACGAGGGGCATAATCCATGACAGACAGAACTTTGAAACCCTGAGGAGGGGCTGGTGGTGCCCCACTGATGCTTTCCGATTTCCTCGGCCATGTTGCAGAGCGCTTTAACATTCTGCTCAACTATACCTGATTCGTTAATGTAATAACAACATTCTTCATTCAGAAACATGCATGTTCCCCCTCCATCTGCTTTCAGTACGTCCAGGGCACGGCGATTTTGTAGGGTGACTTCGGCTAAGGATGTTCATTGCTGTTGAAGGGAAGCAAGTGAGTTAGAAGTGGAATCCATCATGAATTGTACTTTGTCATTAAAGGTTTGAGCCTGAGTGATGGTTTGTCCGATTGGTCCTCCGGACACGCCAGTTGAGGTTGAGGAGGAGGCGAGGCTGAGTCCCACCTGTACTGGTAGGAAAATTGTTTGCTTGGTTTTAGAGCCGGAGAGCATGTACAAGTCCCACATCCATCGGAATTCCTCTTGGCTCTACATTGTGAGTTGGGCACTACTGTTCCTGGGAGGCAGGGGGTACGGCTGGATGCATTGAGGCACTTTGTTAGGGTCCCATTGCACCAGAAGAAGATTCCTAGGGGGCTTCAAGT